GTGTGGGGGGGTCAGATTGGGCGCAATTCCCACACTGTGGCTCTGGTGTTGTTCCCTGTAGGGCTATGGGTGGGTGAGGCACGTCATGTCTCATAGTGGGGCCGGGCATGTGGTCGTCTCTGTAGACTGGCTGCTCGAAATGGGAACGTCGTCCTCGTGACCTGGTGGGCCAGGATGTGCTCCACTCTCTCCTCTTCCCGCTTCATCTGCTCCCATGTGCTCCGATCAGACATGTCCCTCTCCCGGAGCTGCAGATTCAATGCTGTCCTTTGAAATAAATTCTTCTGGAGGGAGGGGCAGGTGTCCACGTAGTAGTTGGGATTGGGGGCGGCCCCTCAGAGCTCTCCAGCTATTGTTTTTTAAACTTAGGAGATATCAAAAGCTTTGGGTTGACAATAGGGAAGTAGCTTTATTATAAGTAGGGGCAGAAATGAAACCACGGCTTGTCTGAAAACTACCTTGTATGGCGCTGCTGCATTTGGCTGCCTGCCACTTTAAAAGTGTTTTGCTCGTGAACGTTAGCCAATGGGGGACAAAAAGACATTCCTTTTATATGTTAATCTTTGGTTTTCAAAGGAGATAAAATGTTGGCGTCTTCAGAAAGAGCTTGTTCTGTTTCATAGAGAGATAACTTCAAAATACATAATGGTTGTAGATCATCCCCCCATCTTACGGCACAATAACATTTCACCATGCTTCGGTGAAGAAAACTTTTAGTAGGACTTCGAAATAGACTAGCTTGTGGACTAAGGTCGGAGGAAGTATTTTCAAAACAGTCTCTACCTGAACAGACACAAACGTTCCCCTTAGAGGATAGTTAAGATTTTGTGTCCACTTCGCTGGGCTGGGGATTCTCGGGGCTGGTGTGGTCCTTGTTGCTTTTTGGTGCTGTCAAGTTCAGAGTGACCCGTACACCACACACAGAACACCGCCCGTCCTGCACCGTCCTCACCGTTGTCCTTACGTTTGGACCGTAGTCGGAACCACTGTGTCAGTCTCTCTTGTTGAAGGTTCCTCTCTTGGCTGTCCTGCTTTTCCAAGCATGACGTTCTTTTCCAGGGACCGTTCTCTCCCGATCGCATGCCCAAAGTCTGCAGGTTCGTGCACGAAGTCTCACCATTCTTGCTTCCCAGGAGAATTCTGGTTGCATGTCTTCCAAGGCTATTTGTTTGTTCTGTTGGAGTTCTTGACACTCTCAATAGTCTTCGTCATATATAACAATATACGTTATTCTTCAAATGCATACAAAATAACAATACTTCAGGTGCACCCCTTCTCCTTCTGTCTTCCTGATTCAGAGTCCAGCCTTCACACGCCTGTGAGGCAAACCCTTACTGCTCTGTCAGTCTGTCGTACTGTGGTGGCCGCTGTGCTGCTCTGATGCTGGAGCTATGTCACGAACATTTCGCATGCCAGCAGGGTGACCCAAAGTGACCAGGTTTCAGTAGCGTTTCCAGACTAAGGGGTTGATACCCTGGCTGTTGCTGCCATGAGAATTGGTTGTGGATTTAGGCAACATAAAAATCCTTGACTACTTCAAACTTTTCTCCATTGATCATTGTGACTTACTGATCTACTTGTGAGGATTTAGGTTTCCTTTACATTGAGCTGTTATCCATATGGAAGGCTGCAATCCCTGACCTTCGTCAGCAAGCGCTTTAAGTTCTCCTGCTTTCAGCAAGCAAGATTGTGTCATCTGCCTATTACGGGTTACTAATGAGCCTGCCTCTGATCCTGAGGCTGTTTCTCTTCATCTAATCCGGCGTCTCTGATCCTTTGCTCAGCATAGATTGAGTAAGTATGGTGAGAGGCTGCACCCATGATGCACACCTTTTCTGATTCAAAACCATGCAATCTTTCCTGCTTCTGCTTGAAAAATTGCCTTTGGATCCATGTACAGGTCCTGCATGAGCACAATGAAGTGTTCTGGAATTCCCCTTCTCCTCAAGGCTCTCCACAGAGTTGAATGCCTTTGCATAGTCAACAAAACACAAATGAACATCTTTTTACTATTCTCTGCTTTCAGCCAAGATCCATCTGACATCAGCAGTGATATCCCTTCCTCCACATCCTCTTCTGACTCCAGCAGCTCCCAGTCAATGTATTACTGCAACCATTGTTACATCATCTTCAGCAAAATTTCACTTGCATGTGATATCAGTGATCTTGTTCTGTGATTTGTAGTTAAGGCCTAGTAATACCTTTATGATGTGATCTAATACAATGTAATCAATTCCAAAAAGAGATCTACTATGAGCAACCTATCAATTGTAAGAAGATTTCGGTGGGAATCACCCTTATTCAGATCATAGCCCTGATCCTTTGAAGAGAAAGAATGTTTCTTCAGGGGTGTGGATTGCTTCCAATATAAGTGGATGCTGTGAAAAATCTTGCTGGGTCTGGGTCCTACATCTGGCTTGTTACCTCTTTGGATTTGAACAACCATCCTGCCATGTTGTTTATAGATCCTAGAAGCTGTCATTGGCCTACTTCTCACTTGACAACCTTGGATTCATTTACCTCTGCTGCCTCCCCCCACCCCAGCTCCCCAGCAACACAGCCAGGACATGTCTTCAGCCTATCATCTGAGCCACAGACTTGAAAATTGCCTGGTCTTGCCTAATTCTACAAATGTGTAAGCCACTTTAAAAAATATAAATCTCTCTCTCTCTCTCTCTCTCTCTCTCTCTCTCTCTCTCACACACACACACACACACACACACACACACACACACCTCACTGTTTTTGCTTCTCAAAAAGAACCCAGCCAAATAAACAATCAATTATCACTCAAATCAGGAACCTTTTGACAGTGAAGAGGGGGTACCAGTAATAATTCTGCTAAGACAACACGGTAACTGGGACCTTCCGGGGAAACTCAGATAACAGGCACCCCATCTCCTTACTTAAAGAGAAAGCCAAACACAATCATAAATCTCCCCCAAGGCCAACCACCGTCCCAAATAATCCAAAGGTGACCAGAACGTACTTGGACTTGCCAAAGCCCAGCCTCCTCCGTGCAGGTAAACAATGCTGCGTTTCAGTGGCTCATTGGGTTTGGAGGAGCCTTCAAACACTCGGACTTCCACACCATCAAATTCAGTGTCTGTCACCTTCACCTGAGCTGATGACCACGCACTTTTCTTGCCAAAAGAAATGATGATAAAATTCAGGGCAAGCAGATGATGGCTCAGGCCCAGGTAGTGGATCAGGTTACTCTGCAGGATGAGGGGTGGAAAAAAGAGGGAAAATGTGTCCATTTTTTGTCTTAATCCTGAAATTCTTAAAAACCAGGCACACTGTACTGGAGGATAAAAGAGACACTTTCCACACAACACATTGCATGCTCCTTTTAATTTTTAAGCTTAGAAAGCTTTTCATACAAGAGCTCTCCCTTGATGTTGAGACCAACTCTGGAGGGAAATGAGGCCGGTATTCTGATAACATCATTAGCCCAAGGTTGACGGGGCCACACACACCGAAACACTGGTGATACACTTCTGTATGCTCAAGGCCACTGGCAACTCGATCTAGCCACTTCTGCCCTACACATGGGATGGACGCGAGTCAGTGGATATAAGTAAAAGGCAAGTGTCATTAGCCCCAGATTCACATGGCTCTTTAGCTGTAGAAGTGAAACTAAGTCTTGGGACTGTCAAGATCCAATCCCTTTATTATTATTTTTGACATTTCGATCAACAAATCCTGATCCTGATATTCTGATAATATATGAAGAGCGGAGGAAGAGCGCTTTATCAAAATGCAAATAAAGGAGAGGAATATTTTATGTTTACTTATTTTGAAAAGTGCTTTCAAGTTTATATACGGAAGTGTGTCCAGTGGCTCTGAGAGTAGGGGAATGGAGTAAGTGTGTAAGAGTGAAGGAACAGAGTCAACCAATCCCTCTAGGCTCTGGCATTCAGGAGCAGACCAGCTCAGACTGAGCCCAGAGCGCTCGGAAATCGGGCAAGTCTCTTCTTCCTCTACCCCCAGGATGCTGACCTCTACACTAAAGGTTCACGGACGTTGTTAGGTCGGAAGGAGCCTGGTGGTGCAATGAGGAAGCACTTGGCTGCGAGGCTAAAAGGAACATGAAGAGAAAACTCAAGTAGCCCACCAAGTTAAGAGCCTACCGAGCTTACTCTCCTTGGTGCGGTGTGGTTATGATACATGCTTTTCTCATTGCATTCCATTCATAACGATGACTTCTCCACAAGACCATCACACTCACTGCCATCGAGTTGATTTAGGCTCCTAGTCATCCTAGAGGACAGGGTAGACCTGGCCCCCGAGGGTTCCTGAGGCTGTAACTCTTCACAGGAACAGAAAGCTTCCTCTTTCTTCCTCCGAGCAACAGTGGTTTCCCACTATGGACCACCCTGTAGTCAGCAGCCCAACAGGTAACCATGATACCCCCAGGGCTTAAGGGCCCTGCAAGACTTAACGGCCATGCTTAAAAAGCAGAGAACTAAAAGTCATCTGCAAACCGGGCATCAAACAAGAAAGACCAAGAAGTATCAAAGAGTGACTGCACATTAGTGCTTGATGCTGTATCTCCTAGTAATGCTCAACCTTCAGGAAAGGAAACACCTGGAAGTTAACAGTGCTCTTTTATAGACTTGCAAACAGAGAATAGTACGAATACTTTGGTGACATGGTCAATGGCACTATAAGATGTAGGACTCAATGTTACAAGGAGAATAATACAGGACTAGGTAATGTCTCTGATATGCAGTACTGCAGTGTCCCAGCCAGTGCGCAGAGCACATCAGGGTACCTTGAAGAGGGTGCAGGTGGGCTGTAAGAATGAGTCTCAGCTCCTAGCCAGCCAAGCCCAGCATGTTTCATAAATACTCTTATTGCGTAAGATTATGCAATGCCCTGCCAGGACAAGAGTTGGCAAATACTGCACTATAAAACCATTTCAAGTGTTCAAAATAAGCAATAAGAACAAGAGGCAATAGCAGAGGGACTCCGCAGAATCCAGCCCAGGAGAGTTGCTTAGAGGGAACTTTAACACAACTAGAACGCAGGAGGAGCATCATGAAGATAAG